CTTAATTTAGAGTAAAAATGATAGGGTTTTAAGTTGCACTCATTGTATTTAACATTGCATGCAGTTTATTCCACAAAATGTTATACTTTGAGAAGAAAGAAATGTGCTTCCCTACACTTAATTCCTCAATCTCATTTTGGTATATCAAGATTAATAAATCCATAACTACAAACTGGATCTATGGTCAACCCCAGATTTTTTGTCTGGGGTGAAACATCAAGTGGTGTTCCAAGGCCCATAAATTTAAGTGCATAGTATCTACCTAGAGAACATATCTCCCAAGTGCTCTCCTTGAGAGGGAAAACTCAACAGCTAACATTTTGTTTACATAATTGGCTCATCCTGTCTAATGATAATGCTTTTCATGGTGTATCTCATTTCCATTTCTAGCAGATTCTTGAGTTCTAATATTACTGTTTTGAGACTTTTGAGACTACCACCAATGAGACATATGCCTGTGCATTATGCGGCAGGTCCATTACAATAATCTGTTTTTTGGTGTTAATATGTTTAATATGTTTTTGGCGGATTAAGTAATCCGGCAGATACATTACAATAATCTGGTTTTTTGGGGGGGATTAATATGTTTAATATGGTTTTGGAGGACCTAGCAATGCCTAAAGATTTACTTACTTAGGCTATCACTCATTGTTCGAGTAAGATTGGTGTCCTGGCAGTGGGTACGTTGGTGACTGTGGAGCCCTGTTCTTGACCTGCGTGTTCTCCCATAGGGTTTCCAGGTGGAAGACAGTCCTGGTTGGGGTTGGCTTGACACACCTTTCTCTTAGCATGTTTCTCTCTTTCACCTTCCATTCACGTCTCTTAAATTCTACAGCACTGCTGGTCACAGCTGACCTCCAGCCAGAGTGCTCAAGACTTCCTCAGTGTCTATGTCACAGTTTTAAAAGTTGGCTTTGAGTCCATCTTTAATAATAATAATAATAATAATAATAATAATAATAATAATAATAATCAACAACACTTTATTTATATTCCGCCCTTCTCACCCCGAAGGGGACTCAGGGTGGATCACAGTACACATACACAGCAAGCATTCAATGCCACTTTGTATAGACAATACATAGACAGACAGAACAGAAGGAGGTGCCATGGAAGGTTGGGCTCGAGTCCAGGGGGTGGTGTTGCTCTTTCCTCTATGACAAAGAGCTGTCAGGACATCCTCCTTCTTTTTGGTCACCCAGCATTTTCCGATCTATCTTTATGGTGACGTAAAACACGTTCCCCCGCTATTTAGCGGTACCTAATTTCTCTAATCACAGCTAAAGCTGTTTTCGAATTGCTTAGGTAAACAATTCTTTTCATGTCTTCCAACATTCCCTTTCCCGTTCTTGAGTTCAGAAATGCCTAAAGAAGTGTTCACTAAATTGCAGAACCGACAGCGGAGGTTGACTTTATAATTGTACTGAAGACTAAAGAGAACACTTTTCTTAGCATTGCTGGGTCCTCCTGTATGATACTGTGGCACTGAAAACTCCTAAAATACATTCAATGAGCTCACATAATGAGCAGGCCTACTGTATAAACCAGTCAAGGACTAACTTCAGTCCTCTAGTAGGCTGTTAGGAATCGTGGGAGTTGAATTTCCAACCCCTAGAGGTCCAAAGTTTTCCCGTGCCTGGTATAAACCAACAAGAGACTGTTGGGTTTCCATTGGAACCAATGAGATTTCTTCCAGAATAAGTGCTGAGGGACATTTTAGGAGAAGGATAAGTAAAGGAAGTATATTTTTCCTTTTCTCCCCACTTTCCAAGAGTTTTAGTGCACAATACAGAACATGTCTTAGCTATGATTTTTCTTTATGCTATGGTTATCAGGCCCGATGAGAGCCACTTGGAGAAACTGTAAGATTCCACATCTTGTGAGATTGCTATGATTGGTGCAAAGGGATGCTGCAGTGATTCACCATCTTTGTAATATCATTGTTCAATGACATTGCTTTGCCTGCCTCCCCCAATCTGCTGCAATCACTTCACTAACTGGTGCAAATAACATCTACCTTCTTCTACTAATTTCACATATGCTCATCATACAGACAGAGCTTTCTTCCTAGTCAAGTGAAGAAGTCTGAATGCATATGACAATGAGTCCCTCTCATCTTAAACTTCTTTATAAAAAAAGCATAAGGTACTGTATGTTTTTACAAATACATACGTTTTCATAACGTCTCATCATACGTTCTTTGGCCATTGATGAAATAAAAAGATAATTGCATTTGACAAATTGGAGAACAAACAAATGAGGATTAACTTCAGACTGATGAAGGAAGAAGGAGGGCATGACAAAGACCAACAAACATCAAATAAGATGAATAGATGGTATATTTAAACTCTTTGGCATGTAATGACTGCCTGCTGTAAGCTGTCCAGAGTCCCTCTTCAGAGATGAGAAGGACGGGATAGAAACGCCTTAAGTAAATAACAATAATAATAATAATAATAATAATAATAATAATAATAATAATAATAGAGACATTGTTTTTGTATGCCTTCAAGTTGTTCCCAACTTATGGCAACCCTATCATGGAGTTTTTCTTGGCAAAATTTATTCAGAGGGATTTGCATTTGTCTTTATCTGAGCCTGGGCAGAGTCTGACTTGCCCAAGGTCATCCAGTGGATTTCCATGGCTGAGTGGAAAGATCTTATAATTGTGCTGGTTTGAATGTTAGACAGTTTCATTGTCTCATTGTCCATCACTCAAACCACTACACAAAATTGGTGTCTTATCTTATTTATTTTTGCTGTCTTATCTTCAGGAGCATGTGCAATTTTCTGGCTTAGGTCATGGAAGAAGTGAATGTTATTCATCTTGGTAGAAGACTAGGAAAAAAGAGGGGGTGCCATTTGCAGAATGAGTACCTATAAACTCTATCAAACTGGATGATGAAATTTGTGGTGCCTGTTCTCCCTTATCTTCCAAACCCAGTTTTCAACCACGGCCTTTCCCACCAAACATGTGCATCCATGTAAAGCTATGTTTTTCCTAATCCTTCACCTTGCAATAGAATAGGCGTTCTCACATCTGAACCCAGTAAGATCCTTTTCAGGGTGACCACACCATTCTTTTAAGGCAGCAAGCACCTCCTTCTGACATAATGAGACATTTACTGTCCTCTGAACTCTCCAGTCCTGCTAGATGTTATCAGTCAAAATGGGCAAGGGTTACATGTAGTGGGCTGAAATGCTTCAAGCATCTTATTCTCACAATATGGAAAAATGTCCACATAAAAACTACAAAAAAAATTCCATACAGATTGTCCACAACACTTGGGATGTTTGATGCCAGGAGAAAATTGCAAAGAATTCTTGTTGGGCTATTGTTCTTCCCAACAGGGTTACCCTACTGTTGAGAAACCAATTTTTCATGTCAGAACAAATAATTAAGGGTTGAGCATTATCCAAAATTCCAAAATCCTTCAAAATACAAAATTGCTTACCTAGATGACTGAGATAGTCATACCTTTGCTTTGCCGATGATTCAATGTACAGAAACTTTGTTTCAGGCACAAAATTATTAAATTAATGAATAAAATTATCTTTAGGCTATGTGTATAAGGTATATTTATTTATTAATTAATTATTTGCATCATTTATATGCCACCCTTCTCACCTCGAAGGGACTCAGAGTGGCTCACAAGATATATATACATACAATATATTAAATTATTAGCATAGTACAATATCAGTATTATATATTACTATATTGTACTACACCATTAGCATAGTAGAATATCAGTATTATATATTACTATATTATACTACACCATTATATTGTAATATTATTAGTAATATTACATGTAATATAATTATATATACATATATAATAATATAATGTGTATATGAAACACCAATGAATTTCATGTTTAGATTTGGGTTCCATCTCCAAGATACCTCTTTACGTACACATAGGAAATGAGCCTTGAAAGTATTGTCAAAGGCTTTCATGGCCGGAATCACAGGGTTGTTGTAGGGTTTTTTGGACTATATGGCCATGGTCAAGAGGCTAGACAATGGCCATATAGCCCGAAAAACCCTACAACAACCCAGAGCCTTGAAAGGTTTTTTTTTATTCTCTGTGGTCTTTGCTCATTAATTCCATCTTCTCCGCCTCTCATATATTGCCCAATTTGATTATTTATTTAACTCTGGATACCTTTGAGATTTATAATATACACAAATAAAGGCATGAAAGCAGAGTTGCAATCAGTCACCATTAACAACAACAACAGCTTATTTTGAACCTACCCTCTCTCCCCAAGGGGGCAATATTAGGCTAGATACACCAATACACCTAAAATCAACAGTATTAGACTAGATACACCAATGATCTGACACAGTCAAAGTTTATCATAACTTTTCCTATTTTACCTTCTCAGAAAATGGTGAAGGTGAATCAGATGCTTACTATTTTTTCACATTTAATATGCCATGGCTGGTTCCCCTGTCCAAGTTCTACTGCAAGTCACACGGCTGCTTCCATACCACTACCAGCCACATTGTCATCTGATTTGCCTTAACCAGAAGTGGGAGCTATTATCAGAAACATTATAAAAGTAGCCAATGGTGTAGTAATAGTTATATTGCTCAGCAAAATGCAAGCAGGGCTACAGAACAAACAGTCTGGAGCTATAGAAGGTAATCAGTGAGTCAGCAGTTATGGCCTTTTATCAGATAACATTTGGTGAGCTAATATACACATATTTCAAGTAGATTTTAGGGGAAAAGGCCACTGGGATGACAATTGATAACTTACCAATTTCTCAAAAAGGTTTGGAGGAGTTTGAGATTGCTGACCAGGTGCATTAATTTTGTATTTTCATGCAAATGCCTATAACCTGAACCTCTCCCGTACTGCTGCTGTTGTTTTAGTCTGATCTACGATAAGAGAAAATTGTATATGAAAAACCTTTACCTCAGTATCTGCATATTTATAATTTGAATATAACATTTAAAACAAATTACTCTGCTCTTCTGCATTATAGAATATTGGGAAAAAGATGTCATGCCAACAATTTACTGCAAACCTGGATGGACTAAATGATGGCAATGATTTTGCAAAGGACATCTTAAAGGTAATGCTGTTTCAGGAAAAGATAAGAGTGAGGTTTACTGGTATTACCAGAAACACAAATGTCTATGACTGCAGTTCTGCATATGAATAAAAATGAACTATGGATGTTCCCCTATCCACTTTTCATATATATCTCCTACAGTTATGGTAAACCACATCACTTTTAATTTGTAGAAATGATCTACATGAATAATCAAAGCACGCACGTTGCAGATATGCAGCCAGGGGCGGCTCAATCCATTACGCAAAGTAAGCATTTGCAGTATAGTTGATTTTGCCCAGGGGCGCTCTTGAGGCGCTCTGGGGGGAAATAGACCTTGACATATGTGAGTTGTAGTTACTGGGATGTATAGTTCACCTACAATCAAAGAGCATTCTGAACTCCACCAATGATGGAATTGAACCAAATATGGCACACAGAACTCCCATGACGAACAGAAAATATATATCAGTGATTGGTTGGGGGGGGGGGGGTGCCAAAATACTGTTTGCTTACCGTTGAAAATTACCTAGGTCCACCTCTGTATGCAGCTGCAGAACTGAATGTTTTTTGTGAAAAGTTAGTATGAGAAGGTTTTCCATAGGATTTTTTCAATAGGGGTTTCAGCATTGCATTCTGAGTTGGCCATCAAGACAGGATTCCCTAGAGTTGACACATTGTATCAGAATGGAATATAATGTACCATCTCACCTGTCAGTTATATGCCATGGTAGTAGAAAATATATCAGTTGAAACTCCATGCATCAGTGACTGGGCTGGTTAATGGGAATGATGATCCAATAACATACAGAGGAGGAGACAAACATTTCCCACCTCTGTATTAAATAGTTGTTCCCAATATCAACTTGTACATTTTATGGTCCTGAGATGTGTCCTATCACTTCACCACCTCATGTGTTTTCTTTATTTTCCAGCTTCCTAGATACCCTTGCATGTTTTCATAAATTCAGCTAATCCCATTTTCCCTTCAGAAAAGGTACTAAAAGTTTTTTTCTCCAACCTTCATTCACCCAGAGACATATATAGAATTGGCTCCAGATATAAGTCACATAGGGACTCCCCCAGCCACTGCAAAGACATAACATTATAACATTCCCAAACACTCATAAGTTCAAGAAATTAACAGAAAGCTCAAAAACATACAGGAATAGCCAGGCAAAAAATGACAAATAAGTAGTTTTTCATTCTTCAAATAATTTTAATGAAAATGCAGATCTTGTAGTCAAACTTTTTTTGTGACATAAGTCTGGCAAAGAGAGGCAGCAAGCCCTGGTGGCAGATGCTTTGGTAGTACATGTAAGATGCCAGATGTAAGCTCCTAGTTTTGAAACTTGGAATGTAGGGTAGATCCATGTTGTCATTCATCTCAATTAGCAGAAACTCTTCACAATTCTAACATTATGATTCTATTTTAAGTGTCAGGTCAACATCCTATGGAATGCTTGGATTTATGGAATAATAATAATAATAATACATTTTATGTATTACCGCCTCTCCTGATGGCTCAAGGCAGGGTACAACAAAGTCAAAACACATGAACATTATACACACACACACACATACACACGCACACGCACACACACACACTCCAAATACATAGATATAACATACCCCAAACACAGATACACATGTAGCATATAGCAGCAATAGAATGTAAATCAAAATTCATGGTTCAAAGTTGACTGTGTAGGCCTGTCTGAAGAGATGGGTCTATAGTTGAATTTAAATTCTGATAGGTTGTTTAGCTGTAGGATCTCTTCCAGCAGGTCATTGAACAGTCATGGGCAGCTGATGAAAAGGTCCTCTAGGTGAAGGTTGCCAGTTGAGTTCTGGCTGGTTGAAGTAACCAGTGTTGTCATACTAGGTCTTTAAACTGGGCAGCCCCGCATTTCTGCTGTCTGCAGAATTCTGGGAAATGTAGTTTGGGAAGGCAAAGACCTGTGTAGTTAAGAATTCAAAAGGGCCCACCCTAAACTACATTTCCAAAAATTCTGCCTGTGGTGGAAATGCAGGGCTACCCACTTTAAAGTCCTGGAGTGATAACGTAGTAAGTCTCTGCCAGAGGACTTAAATGTTCTAAAGGGCGAATTGTGCAGGAGATGCAGGAGAAGGCGATCCTGTAGGTAACCCGGACCCAAAACATCTAGGGCTTTAAAGGTTAAAACCAACCCTTTTTGGCAACCAGTGGGGTGACTTTAATATGGATGTAATATACTCACTTCTAGATGTTCCTGTAACCAACCTGGCTGCCAAGTTTTTAACTAACTGGAGTTCTTGAACTTGGTATAGAGGTAGCAGTGCATTGCAGAAGTCCAACCTTGACGTTACCAGTGCTTGCATCCATCTTTAGGTCCTTGGATTCTAGGAAGGGGCATGGCTAGCATATCATCTGAAGTTGGTAGCAAGTCCTTCTGACCATTATGATTCTTTCAACCAGAGAATCACAATGCTTTGCAAAATATATATTCTAGAGCTCCATAAGATATGATGGTAGTTAAAGAGGAATCATTGCACTACAACTGTGCGGCGTGAAAGTGCCTTTAGATCGGGCCTGATAAGCTAGTAAACCACTGTTTCTATGAGAACACTTTATCATTTAACCATCCTAATCATGAGTTGATGAGGAGGACACCATCTGCAGAGGTGAATTGTATTTTAAAAACTTGTTAAGAACTGACACTATGTTATTGTTTCAGACCCTGTATAACTCAATAAAAAATGAAAAGCTAGAGTGGGCCATGTAAGTATATACACTGGTTTTTTAAATCTGTAATTTAAAATCTTCTGTGTATATTTGTGCATATTAAAGGAATCTTGAGTTTTGTTCCAGGATGAAAGGAGTATCAAAAACCCTCACCTTGTTTGATGTTATACAGATAGCTTTTTAAAAATAGTAGTAGTAGTAGTTGTTGTTGTTGTTGTACCCCGAATTTCCCCAGATTTGGGCAGCAAAGTGGCTCTGGACATTGTTCAGGAAAGCATGTATGTTAAGAGAAAAGTTGAATCATTATAATTCAGACCTTTATACATAATACAATAAGATAAGCTGTGGTCATTGCTTTATATGTTTCAGACAAAGCAACACCTAACCTGATTTAATGCTGCTGTCAGTTTATTTCTTGAGGCTTATGATATTTTTCCTCCTAAGAGTTTGTTTACATGTTATTGGTATTTCACATATTATATTTGTTAATCATCTCCTGAAGCCTGGACACCATTTTTATCATTTTCCTTTAAAATTAATTGATTCATTTTTGAAAATCTACATGCTCCTAAACATAACACTTCAGAATTCAATCATCTACATGTTTCCATTGCCATTCACTACGATGTAATGTTCAGTTTAGGATGGAATAAAAGTGGAGATAGCATTGTTTCTTAGGCCCCATCTACATTGCAGGATAATGCAATTTAGCTGCAGTTAAATTGCATTCTGAAGCAGTTTTATATGACACCAGTGGTTCTCAACCTGGGGTCCCCAGCTGTTTTTGGCCTACAATTCCCAGAAATCCCAACTAGTTTAGAATTTCTGGGAGTTGAAGGCCAAAAACGTCTGGGGACCCACAGGTTGAGAACCACTGGTGTAGATTGATCCGGGTTGCTAGGCAGTTTACTGGACTGTAGCCTGAAACAATCTTTAGACCCACTCTGTCCACTATGGCAACCCTACCACCTATCCCCCCCACCCTCACTCCAATCACTTTCATCAATGTATTGATGTTTGCTCCATATCGGCTCCTTTGGGAATTTCAGTTTGTTTAAATCTTCCCACTGAAATCAACTATTGGAGTGAATTAGAAAACAAATGAGCTATTTGCTAATGACTAAAGAGTTAACCTTACTTATTTCAAAGCCATTTCAATGCAAGCTTGAAATATGTGAAAGATAGTAGTGGATCTCTGAAAGGTAGTAGTCACATTGGTGAAGCAGACGCTAAACACCAATCAGTCCCACATTTGCCCATATACTACTTACAAGTTCTAGCAGAGATGTTTTCTTTGTAAAACATAAAATAGTTTACATCTTAAATCCTTATGTTTTATTAAATACGTGGTCTAATTGGAGGAGAGAAAGGGGAGGCAAAGAAAATGGCCAGAGGTTAGAGTGATGTAGGAAAAAATGGCTGTATTAAAACAAAGAGGAGCTCTGCAAGATATAAGTTATTGAGTACAGCCATTCAGATTTTACTCAGTGTATCAGTAACTTCCTAAAACAGGAAATGAGGGAGGAGAGGGTGGGACTGGAAAAGTAGAAGAACATCCGGCATCATTTTTTTTTCATTTTGGGTGACCTCAGGTATAATGCTTGTATTGTAATGTTGATTTCTGAAACAAACTTTCCACATGTACAGATGTGACACACATGTTATGGGGAGGGAGGGAGAGTGAGGAAAGTTATGTATCATCATTTGAAGAGTGGCAGGTGATTAATTCACACACCAGTGCCAGAGGGGAAAATGGGTCAAGTAATAATCTGATTAGAAATGCAGTTGTCTATATATAGCTATAGCGCTACATGGGAAGGATTTGTGCGATTTTCACATATATATATTTTGCAGGCAGGATCAAGTAACGGCCACTTTAATAATATCAAACCGGGTCTGCACAATGCTGACGAGGCTTAGAATGAACTCCAAATTGGTTAGATCTAGGGTCAAAGAGCATAGCATAAACTGTCAGGTCATCAAAGATGACCAGCTTTAAAAAGAAACAACAGCTGGGGGATAGAATAATGTCCCTTCCTCCCTCCTCCTTCCCTCCTTCCCTCCTTCCCTCCCTCCTTCCCTCCCTCCCTCCCTCCCTCCCTCCCTCCCTCCCTTCCTTCCTTCCTTCCTTCCTTCCTTCCTTCCTTCCTTCCTCTATACTATTAATCTCAATTTTTCAACCAGCTGGCTGCAAATTTCTCACCTCTTACATCTTTTCCCTCAATGGGTAGCATCACTACATCTCATCACTGAACAGCCAAATGGCTACCAATTGAACCAAAAGCACAAAAAATGTAAATTCATCACACAATTGCTGCATTATCCATTTAAATTGCTATGATCCCATCTTATGAAATCCTGGGGGTGTTAGTTTGTTAGCCACTAAGGAGCTCGCTGCCCAATAATTTGATATGCTGTACCCTAGATTACAAATGCCAGAATACTATCAGACACAGTTGCATTACGAGAACCGTTTTTGTGGACCTTACGGCAATCCATGACACAGTGCAACATGGGAAATTACTGCATAAAGTCTACCATATTATTCAGGGCTATGATTTTACAAAAACTGTGCAGTCCCTCCTAGAAAACCGCAGCTTCTATGTGGAGTTTAAAGGCAAGAAAAAGTAGATGGAGGAGGCAAAAGAATGGCTTACCCCAAGGCAGCGACCTTGTTTAACATCTTTACTAATGATCAGCCACAGCCACCACTCACAGAGCTTTATATATGCTGATGGCCTTGGCCTAACAACACAAGCAAAAGACTTTGAAACAGTCAAAAATCCAACTTACTAATGCCTTGAAAGATCTCTCCAGCTACTGCAAAGATAACCACCTGAAACCTAACCCTGCCAAAACACAAGTGTGTGTTGGAACCGTGAAGGCAACAGAAAATTGAAAAATTACCTGGGAAGGCCAAGAGCTTGGACATTGTTTCCATCCTAAATATCTTGATGTCACTTCTGATCAAACAGTAACATTTAGGAAACGCAGTATGAACACCAAGCACAAAGTAGCTGCACAAAATAACATCTTGTGGAAACTTATTGGCAGCACATGGGGTGCAGAACCAAACTGAATAAGAACATCAGCCCTAGCCTTGTCTTACTGCCAAGTATGCCTGCCCTATTTGGCATAAATCTGCCCACGCAAAGCAGGTGAACATAGCATTGTAGAACAATCACAGGATGTCTCACCAGTTGGTAAACTCTACAAGCTAGCTGGCATTGCCCCTCCTGAGGTTTGACGGGAAGTTGCTGCTAATGGTGAGAGAAATAAGGCTGAACACTGTGAAAGCCATCTACTACATGGCTATCTGCCTCTTCCCAGTAGACTCAAATCAAGGAAAAGCTTCATGAGAACCACCACTCCTCTTAACGTTCCCCCAGGAAGAACAAGAGTATTCCTATAGGTAGCTAAACCAGGAAATCCCAATTGGATGGCCCCCGATGAGGATCTGCTTCCAGGGGCAAACTAAGAATGGGCAACTTGGAAGTTCCTGAGGGTAAAGGTAAAGGTTTTCCCCTGACATGAAGCCCAGTTGTGTCCGACTCTGGGGTGTGGTGCTCATTTCCATTTCTAAGCTAAAGAGCCGGCATTGTTCATAGACACCTCCAAGGTCATGTGGCTGGCATGACTGCAAGGAGTGCCGTTAGCTTCCCACCGAAGCGTTACCTATTGACATTTGCATGTTTTTGAACTGCAAAGTTGACAGAAGCTGGGGCTGACAGTGGAAGCTCACACTTTGCCTCAGATTTGAACCTGTGACCTTTTGGTCAACAAGCTCAGCAGCTCAGCAGTTTAACCCACTGCATGACTGTGGGCTCCTGGAAGTCCCTGAACCGACTCAGAAATGGAGTGGGCAGATCAAATGACAACCTGGCAAAATGGCACAACCTAAAAGAATCCTCCACCTTGTGTGACTGTGGAGCAGAACAGACAACTCCCCGTCTATATGCTTGTCCACAGTGCCCTGCCTCATTTACAGAGGCAGAATTGTTGGAGGCTACAGACAATGCGGTTACTGTTGCCCATTTTTGTTCAAAAGATATTTAGCTGCTTGTGCTTCTTATATTTTTATCAGTTGTTATACTAATTTATGCAATTCTTTTGATACAAAATAAATAAATAAATCAGACACAGTCATGGCTGTAGAAGTGGAATCATAGTTTTATTGCGCGATGTAAAGATTACCTGTTTTTGCTACTTCTCTGGGACTACAAAATCAGGGCCACCCTGCCAAGCCAGGAGCTCTTTTCAGGTTCATCTGAAAATTGTTGTGCAGGGCATGTTTAAGGACGTGAAGTAAAATTGGCTGAAGGTACACATTTTGAAAAAAATGCATGGCTGATTAAGAGGTTTTCAATATCTATAATTTAAAACCCTCTCAGAACAGGAAAAAACGACAGCGAAACTCATTTGAGAGAGGCTTTGAAAACGAATGTTCTTTTACGACAGCCTGTTTTACTTCAGGACAAGGTTCAGCAGTCCACATCTCCCTGAAACATTAATTAACATAATCCACTGGAGGGAGCCATGTATCTGTCTTCCGTTGGTTATGTGCAAAGCTTTGGCGTTTGGGAGAAAGCTTATATAAGAGAGTTCAGAGAGAGTGCACCCGAGCATCTGATTAAAGAAAATGTAGATATACAGGGATGTTGAATAAGTAACATCTAAAAAAATGCCAACTCATTATCTTTCCAAGCCAAGAATATGAATGGGAACCTTTGGTGTAATATATCTGTGGTTATATTTATCAATGCCCAACAAAATATCCCCTTTAGGCATTTTCTAGGTTCTCCAGCATGATATCCATGGACCATTATTTCAATATTATCTGCAGTTTTGCATATCCACACAAAGTCAGGGAAAAGCAGATATGATGATTGTGCAATACAGTTTGTTTATTACTTTTGTTTTATTTCCAAGCGATGAGGATGAACTCCGAAAGTCATTGTCAGAGCTCGTGGATGACAAATTTGGTGCCAGTGCCAAGAAAATGTCAAGGATAGTTGATGGCAGTAACCCCTTCCTGGATGTGCCTCAGGCTCAGAATGCTATTACCTACAAGCATGGGATCCTCACTCGGAAGACGCATGCAGACATGGATGGGAAGAGAAGTAGGTATATGCCCATGACAAGGAACAATAGCAGGGGATGTTGGCCGGAGTGTCAGTGGTGCTGTTGAAATGTTATGCTCCCTAGGGCTGGGGTAGGGGTTCTTCAGTAATGCATTCACAAGTAGCTCTGCAAATCAAGATGGAAAAGTGGCCTTGCTGGCAAGTAGGGTCTAGGACAGCCATGGGCAAACTTCAGCCCTCCAGGAATTGTGGGGGTTGAAGTCCAAAACACCTTGGGAGAGCTGAAGTTTGCCCATGTCTGGTCGAGGAGCGGTGGTCCAAAACAGCCACATGACCTACAAGCAGGCATGTAGCCAGGGAGGGGGGCTTGGGGCTTCAGCCCCCCGCCCCCCCGAAATTCTCATGGTGGTTCGCGAAAGGCCTTACTGGTGCATTATTTAAACTGTTATGTTTATTCATATCATGATCTGATCACCATGCTCAATATATCCCATATGCATGGGGGTATTGGGGTAATGATACAAAAGGTTTGCTAGGCTAGACCTCTTTCACTCAGACTCAGCCCCCCCCCCCCCCGAAACTCACCCCCCCCCCCCGAAACTCCCCCTGAAAAAATTTAGCCCCCCCCCCCCAAATGAAATCCTGGCTACGGGCCTGCTCGGATGTATATATTTTTATGTCATTATATGAGAGCCACTTTCTCAAAGGGCTCTCAAATAGTTTGAGTTCATATGGTATAGCTCTTGGGTTTATTTCCTCTACCTGTTGCCTCATTTTAGGGGTTTGTTTATAGAATCTTTTGAAAGTACATTAGGGCTCTCCAGCAAACTGGAGGTTGATTTGCTAAAGTGTGAATTGTTTGAATTAGCATTTTCCCCTCTTTGCTTCTAAATTTATTTTTACAGCCATAGAGGTATAGTTTTACTGATGCATTATAGCACTGTACTCCTAAAAGAAAACAGAAAACAAGAAGGGGTCATTTTTTCCGATAGATCTCAGAAAAAGAAACACATTTGAGCATAAAAGTAAAATGTTGCAGCTGCTGCCAGAAATAATCCAGAAAAACAGAATTCATGATGGGGGGGGGGGGGGGGGGGGGGTAGAGAGAGAGAAGAAGCAAACCCACCACCAATATTGCAATCTTCTGATATGTTTATAACATGCAACATAAAGTGGTACCCTGATGAGGAACACTATTATGTCCTCCCATGTGGTTCTTGAATAACAAAGGAACTGTGGAGGAGAAACCACAGGAAAAGAGCTCCCATATCACTGTTGACCAGAAGCTAGAAGCCAGACATGGTGACCCCTCCATGCAGATTTTAATTCCAGAGTCATCCACGGGAAATCAAATCCTGAGTCAAATAGAGCCACCACATTTTAAAGATTGTGGCTGGGAAGATTGCTACTTGATTTTTTGTCTTGTTCATCTTTGATAATAATGGGAAACAATTACATAAGACAGTAAGACAATCCAAATGTCTTAGCAATGCATTGGTAGTGAGCAGGCATCATATTCTTTATATCTTAATAACTACTCTATATACTCCTGTACAATTCAATCTCACACACAAGTGAAGGACATCTTTTGGGGCCAAAATTATTGATTTTCTTATGACCTGCAGATAAGTCAAGCGTCATTCTGTGAAGATGGGAAAGCATCAGTACTGACTCAGTTGCCAAGCCACTTCTGCCCACCACTGCCATCATTTCCTTATTTCAAAAAGGCCAAAAAGAACACCAAGGCTGAGAGAGTAGAGGGGGGCATGGTCTAAACCAAGGGTCCTCAAACTTTTTAAACAGAGGGCCAGGTCACAGTCCCTCAAACTGTTGGAGGGCCGGATTATAATTTGAAAAAAAAAATGAATTTCTATGCACACTGCACATATCGTATTTGTAGTGGAAAAAACACTTAAAAACAATACAATAATTAAAATGAAGAACAATTTCAACAAATATAAAATTATTAGTATTTCTATGGGGAGTGTGGGCCTTCTTTTGGCTGATGAAATAGGATTGTTGTTGTTGTGTGCTTTCAAATCGTTTCAAACTTAGTTTGACCCTGAGCGAGGGCCGAGTAAATGACCTTGGAGGGCCACATTCGGCCCCCGGGCCTTAGTTTGAGGACCCCTGCTCTACAGGTACCTTTTTAAATTATAATTTCTAGACTTATACACAAGTATAGAGCAGTGGTTCTCAGCCTATGGGTCCCCAGATGTTTTGGCCTTCAACTCCCAGAAATCCTAGCAGCTGGTAAACTGGCTGAGATTTCTGGGAGTTGTAGGCCAAAACACAGTCTGATGATCACTGGTATAGAGGTTAAGCTTTTCAACTGTCACAATGTTTACTATGTTTTTCAGTACCTCTCTTTCTACTATGAAACTTGGGGTGGTGTACTATTTGGCATATTGTGTCCAGGACACATCTTTCCATCCATCACTCCAACCTATTTTTGAAGCATCAACATCCATTGCAGAATATTGTTTAAAGAGCTGCCTTATCTACTATACTAGAAAACTGTTTTCTGTATTATGTTAACAACCTCACCAGGGAAGGTAGGCATAGCTGTGCGGAATCTTGCCAAAAAGGGCTAAGAGCTTCCTTTACTCTCGACACAGTTATTATTTTTATAGATCAGCTCATACCAACTCTTTCTGTAGGCATCTCTGAGCAATTGGAAAGAAGTGGTGGGCAGGGAGAGGAAATAAACTAACCTTGCTCTAATACATTGAAAAAACATGTTAGAAGTTGTTATTCAAACTGTCAAATGACAAAGTTAATAATGGTTTCCATAAGAACATTTCTGCTACTTTAATTTGGTATTTTGGTGCACCATTTTGAGCATTCTTGGCTGTTTTCATTGGTTTTTCTAAGTTTAAAACAACATTGCTAATACACTGAATGATAAATACTATAAAATGATTATATAGTTTTTCTTCAAACAAAGCTAACAATTTTTTAAAAAATGATTTCTGCTTTTTACATGTTTCAAGGCTCTTTTTTTTTTAGTTATGCCCCCAATTAAACCTGTTATTATGAAAAAAAAATTGTTTTTCAGCTCCCAGAGGACGAAGAGGGTGGAAGAAGTTTTACGCTGTGCTTAAGGGAACAATTCTGTACTTGCAAAAGGTAAAGAGGATTGGATGGCTACTTTGTTAATTGCTGTAAGCTGTTTCTCCTACAGAGTGACTTCTCTTCCGTGCAAGGATTTCCATCTAAAATAAACTGGACATGGGACAAATACTGGGAGGAATCCAACACTGAGAGTGCCTTGTTGGCTCAGACAGGAGGACTCTGTTTCTAGTACTGCCTACCAGCTAGAGACTTGATTTTTGACAATTCATAGGCACACTGTGGATGGGTCTACACTGCCACATGATACAGGTTGGAACTCCATTAACAATTTAACATACAATGTAGTTTAATGCAGTTAAGCTGCATCATATGTGTCTACACCAAGTATGGGCAAACTTCAGCCCTCCAAGTTTTGGACTTCCACTCCCACAATTCCTAACAGCAAGTAGGCTGCTAGGAATTGTGGGAATTGAAGTTCAAAACACCTGGAGGGCCGAAACTGCATTATATGGCAGGGTGGATCCAGCCTGCATCTGAACTTTAAGTTTTCACATCTCTTGTAACCAAGAGACTTTTTAAAAAGCAACCGTTGTCTGTCTAAAACATGGGCAAACTTCAGCCCTCCATGTGTTTTGGACTTCATCTCCCAGAAATCCCAATCTGCTTATTGGCTGTTAGGAATTATGGGAGTTGAAGTCCAAAATATCTGGAATGCCAAAGTTTGTCCATGCCTGGTCAAAAAGGACATCCAGTGAAAACAAGTGGATGCATGCAATTTAATTAATTCAGTGTAATCAATAGTGGATACACTTTCACTTTGTGAAAAAAATGGACACCCACATACATTTTTTTTAAAAAAAACCCTGATTGCATTTAACAGCCATGTAATACTCCATTTAGAGATGGTTCAAACGCGATCTTAAGTGATGACAATCATCATGAAGCAACCATGCAAGACTAATGGGTCACACAGGCTGAACTGTATATCTAAGGTTTTGCACAGGAGTTGAGAGTTGTAAGGGGACTGTGTGTTACCTGAGTTTTTGCAGACAAAAGCCATAAAAAGGCAGGACCAGAATCACTATAAGGAAGCAAATGTTCTCTGCAACACCCAATAATTTTTCCTCTAACAATTGGAGTTCCTTTCTCTCTCTCTTCATAATACAAAATATTTGTGTAAGTTTATTTTTCTTTTTTGTGTCAGAAGCAAATTGAGAATACAGTTATAATATATAGAAAAACCACAAACAAAGTTAAAAACTTGGCATTATACTAAATTTCCTTTGACCAGAATCTGCCCCCTTCAAGTGCCTCTGGTGTAACTGTAAGAAGGTCCTCCATTGTGTATGTGGCAGGGCTCAGACTGCATTGTAGTAAGTGGTCTGTGTTTGCTCTTTTCCACACTCACATATCATGGACTCCACTTTGTGGCCCCATTTTTTAAGGTTAGCTCTACATCTCGTAGTGCCAGAGCACAGTGAGTTCAGAGCCTTTCATGTCACACAGTCTTCTTTGTGCCCAGGAGGGAGTTTCTGATCTGATATCAGTCACTAATTGAGGTTCCGGGTTTTAATCTGCCACTTTTGGACTCTTGCTTGCTGAGGTGTTCCTGCGAGTATCTCTGTTAGATCTTAGAAAGCTATTTCTTGATTTAAGGCATTGGCTTGCTGATTGATATTCGAACAGGGGATGGGCCGGAGATTTCATTAAAGTAAATCATACCTATACTTTAGATCAGGCCCGTGGGCCAGATGCAGCCCTCCAATATCATTTACCCAGCTGCCACCCTAAACTTTAAACTTAGGGTTGCCCTAAGTTTACTTGAAGGCACAAAACAGCAACAATCCTAATTAATTTTACTATCTCATAAGTCAAAAGCAGGCTCATACTTCCCATTGAAATACTGGTAAGTTTATGTTGGTTAAATTTGTTCTTTGTTTCAAATATTGTGTTGTTCTTTCATACATAATTTTTGCACTACGAATAAGATTTGTGCCGTGTGTATAAGAAGTCATTCATGTTTTTTTCAAACTATAGTCTGGCCCACAACTGTTTGAGGGACTGTGAACTATCCCTTGGTTTTAAAAGTTTGAGGGCCCCAGCTCTAGATTCTGTACTGTAGTTTTAATCATGTTATAAAACTGAGGATAGTAGGATACGTAAAACTTTCCACTAATAGATTTCTGCTTGCTCATCATTGCCCAGGCTGAATACACAGTAGCAATGGGGATTGCAAGCTGAAACATCTTGAGAGCCAGAGGTTTCTCATCTCGGCACTAGTTTAATAATTTATGGGACAGCAGTAGCAAATGAACTCATTTCATTAATTGTTCTTTGAATTCAAGCAGCTATTTTTTCAGTGAAGTTGTGTAGCCCATTTGCAATGTCCTTTGATTTTTCTCTTTTGTAATGCATCTTTTGCTTTCCTCCATATGGCATCGATGTTTGTTGTTTAAAGGGAAAACTATATATCAGCATCTCCCAGACACATTTCGCAGCTGGTAAATCCTTTCAGCCTGATTATATTAGAGTTATCAGCACGATTTCCCTTCTCTTTTGCAGGATGAATACAAACCTGACAAAGAACTTTCCGAAGTAGATTTAAAGAATGCTATTCGTATTCACCATGCCTTAGCCACAAAAGCCTCCGACTACAGCAAAAAGTCCAATGTGCTGAAGCTGAAAACAGCAGACTGGCGAGTGTTCCTCTTCCAAGCCCCGTAAGTGGCATAGGAGAAGCTATGCAAAGTTATTTTCATTGATCTTTTGATATGGCAAAGTGTGGATTGCCTCACAGTTCTCCAAACAAGGGTCTTAGTGTGTCTACATTATAACAGCAAATATCCTGACATATTTGTAATGATAAAAGACAGCACTGGAAAATAAGACATTACTGCTTAATTGGCCTTAGAATCATATTGTTGGAAAAGACTTTGTGGGCCATCCAGTCCAATCGTCTGCCAAGAAGCAGGAAAATCACATTCAAAGCACCCTCAACAGATGGCCACCCAAAGTCTCTTTAAAAGCCGCCAAAGAAGAAGGAGGCTTACCACACTCTGGGGCAGAGAGTTCCACTGCTGAACAGCTCTCATAGTTAGGAAGTTCTTCCTAATGTTCAGGTGGAATCTCCTTTCCTGTAGTTTGAAGCCATTATTCCATGTCCTAGTCTCCAGGGCAGCAGAAAATAAGCTTGCTCCCTCCTCCCTATTACTTCCCCTCACATATTTATACATGGCTATCATATCTCCTCTCAGCCTTTTCTTCTTCAGGCTAAACATGCCCAGCTCTTTAAGCCACTCGTCATAGGGCTTGTTCTCCAGACCCTTCATCACTTTAGTCACCCTCCTCTGGACACAACCCTTCTTGTCAACACCTCCCTTAAATTGTGGTGCCCAGAATTGGACACAGTATTCCGGCTGTGGTCTGACCAAGGCAGAGTAGAGGGGTAGCATGACTTTCCTGGATCTAGACACTATACTCCTATTTATGCAGGCCAAAATCCCTTGTATATGCTCATTATGTGAAAACACAGGATACATTTTTATTTTTATTTTTTACTATAGAAGCAAAACAGGTCTCAGGATAGTAAAGCCTCTAGGAATCCCATGCAAGTTATGCTGAGTTCTTTGGAAGAAGTTGACATACAAGTCAGTTGGTCTGAATTAATTTCAGGGATTCATCAATTACTATCAGGGTATTAGTAGTAGTAGTAGTAGTAGTAATAGAATTACTAGCAGCTGTATGAATTTATGGTCAAATATTGTTCCTACTAGCCATAAAAATTAGTAGAATTACCTCTGTACACATGCAGACTGTTTTTTCCTTTATTTTTATTTATTTATTAACTATATTTATATACCGCTTTTCTCAGCCCTCGGGCGACTCAAAGCAGTTTACAATAGCAAAATTCAATGCTCAAAACATCATAGAACAGTTAAAACAATTAAAACAATAGCAGAAGAAACAATCATTACAAAATAATAAAACAATAACACATCTCATTAGTGTCTCTTAGTTAAAATCAAGATCCAATCTCATCATCCAATTGTTCCATATTCCTATGTTCGTTACACTGCCTTTTCAAATGCCTGCTCAAACAACCAGTTTTCACTTTTTTCAAAAATTCTAACAAGGAAGGGGCCAATCTGATGTCTGTAGGAAAGGCATTCCATAGCTGAGGGGCCACCACTGAGAAGGCCCTGTCTCTCGTCCCCGCCAAACGTGTTTGTGACGCAGGTGGGATCAAGAGTAGGGCCTCCGCAGACGATCTTAACGTCCTAGCTGGTTCAGAGGAGGAGATGCGTTCAGACAGGTACGTTGAGCCAGAACCACTTAGGGCTTTATAAGCTAAAGCCAGTAGTGAACTGGCAGCGAGTGGAGGTGGCACAACAGAGGAGTTGTATGCTCCCTTAACGCCGCTCCTGTTAGTAACCTGGCTACCGCCCGTTAGACCATTTGGAGCTTCCGGACAGTCTTCAAAGGCAAGCCTACGTAGAGTGTGTTGCAGTAGTCTATACGGGATGTAACCAGAGTGTGGACTACTGTGGCCAAGCAAGGAATACCCTGCCTCTTTGATACCATTGAGAAGAATGGCCAATAACATGAATTGTATTGTTTTCCCCAAAGCCTGGATTTGTTGCAGGTCTGTTCCTGACAGTTAAAAGCAGATCTTTAAAACTTGGTAGGGTTAGCAATCTTTCCCTCCCAAAGAAATCCAGAAAGAATTTTGATCATTTCCTTCTTCATTCTTATTTTAACCAGTCTTTGGAGGACAAAACAAAGGGAATTAGTCATCTTTGTTTATTCATTTCTGCAAGTGTTGTTTGTACAGAAGAGTGAGAAGCTCAGGCCACAGACTTACCTGTTGGGTCTATTTGAGGGCAACAGAAAGAGTTGGCATGCAGGTTCCATCTTTTCCCATCAAGAAGCGAACTATTATCCCCTCGATGTAGAATAAATATTTGCATACAGAGATAAACTGTTTCAGCACTACATAGCCCCTTATTCAGAATATGTCAGTGACTTGGTGATATTTCCCAGTGCACACTGTTCAGTGCACAACCACAATTCACTACTGTGATGTGCAGTGTTCAACTACAACGCACAATATTGTTGCTTGTATAATTCCAATTCAGCTGTAGTCAGTATAATATATCACTTGCACTAGGGCAAATTTGTCCCACATGTATATAGTGTGATGTATATCAACATGTCACTAACAAGATGCTAATTGATGACATGCACTGCTCTGCTGAATATTATCCCAGTATTTGTCCCTTCATGTAGTTCTCCAGGGGGTTGTGGCATTCACAAATCCATGCACATAAAGACACACCTATTTCTGTGTAGCAGCCTGTTTTCTGCACAAGAATCGCACATATTTTTGTGCAGACTAATTCACTAAAAGTTGTATCAAAGCCTCCCTGCTGCATTCTTCTTCTCAATGGGGTATTCCAAGAGGCTGGAAAACCTTTTTCTCTGCAGAGAAATGAACAAAAACAAATATTCTTTTCACCCCAATCATGGAGAGGCAGAGAAACACAATGAATGATCCCAGAGAGAAATTGCAAATGATATGGTCATACCCCATGTCACCCCATGGGGATTTTTCTTTCAAAGACTATTCATATTATTCTTCATGCTAAACATATCAAAATTGAACCAATATAGTCTGGGATGTGATGTTAGCGATAAGGCATCAGTGTGCAGCTCTGCTTCTGTAGTGCTTTTGATTTCTAAAGCAAGGATCCGAAGTCAGTGAAGGATTAAATGCAAGATAGCAAACCCACTTACAAGGCAAATGCAGGCGATAAGAGGGTTAGATAAGATATGAGCATGGGTGCCCAATGCCTGCCAAGGGCCAAATTGTCCCTCTGGAGGATCTGTCTGGATTTGGTTTACTATTCTCATTCCATAAGGCATTTTATGAGTTTAGTTTGGATAAACTGCTCCCTCACCTGGTGGATTTAGATAGGAATGTGTTAATCTCATTCATGGACTGAATTCTGGCGAAATGTTCAAGACTCCATGTGCCTACCTAAATATCGTTCAGAAACAACAGTTATGGTCTAGGTTCAGTTGAGCTAGTTACCAGTCCTTATCTAAGGTTTTAATGAGCCCAGAGCATTTCATATACAGGTAGTCCCCAAGTTACGAACAAGATAGGTTCTGTAGATTTGTTCTTAGTTTAATCTGTATGTAAGTCGGAATAGGCACATTTTTATGTGTAATTCCAGCAAAAGATAGATAGATAGATAGATAAGCTTTGGATACCATAGGGAAAAATGAACACCCCTGTGGTGTTTGTTTTTCTGTCTGTGCCCCTGTTCAGAAGGTTTCACCTCACTTTCTGTCCCTGAGATAATTGGATTTTGAAAAAAAATGGCTTGTTCTGGAAGCAAGGATTTGTGATACAGCTTCAGTGGAGACATCTTTCCCCAATGAAATTTCCCTTCCAAAGGGTAGCATTCGCTCATTTCCTTTTGTTTTACCCCAGTGCTTAACTGTGAGTGGTTTGTAAGTTGGATGTTTGTAATTCGGGGACTGCCTGTGCCTACTTTCAACTTCCATGTGAACATATATTTTTTTCACTTCCACATATTATGCCTGTAAATGAACATTTTTAATCAGGTTGATGAACAAAGCTTTTTCTATGATAGTGCTTCCTATCAAGGAAAATCCATCAAGCCATCTCTGCAACCTGTACACGGTCTCCTAAGAATACATATCAGTATTCTTGATGCGTAAATCCTCTATGAAAGTCATTCCATTTTATAGTATTCTTCAGCTGAATTTCTACACATACTTTTGAAAGTATATGTTGTTTTATTTCTATTTTATTTTGTTGTTTATTTGTTCAGTCACTTCCAACTCTTCGTGACTCATGGACCAGCCCACACCAGAGCTCCCTCTCTGCTGTCACCACCCCCATCTCCTTCAAGGTCAATCCAGTCACTTCAAGGATACCATCCATCCATCTTGCCCTTGGTCGGCCCCTCTTCCTTTTTCCTTCCATTTTCCCCAACATCATTGTCTTCTCCAAACTTTCCTGTCATCTTTGCCTTTAATATCCTCCCCTCCAATGAGCAGTCAGGCATTATTTCCTGGAGTATGGACTGGTTTGCTCTTCTTGTGGTCCAAGGCATTCTCAGGACATCCCTCCAACACCACAGGTCAAAAGCGTCTATCTTCCTTCGCTCAGCCTTCCTTATGGTCTAGCTCTCACATCTTACAGGCTATATTTTGAGATAAATGTTTTACGTGGCTTTAACGTTTTAGAATAGTACTGGTTGTAAATGCATTTGTTTCCTAGTTGTGGTCACAAATCCAAAAAACCCGTGTCCTTTTGTTCATTTCTTTGCACCCTACCTTTCTCCCAGTATGGGACTCTAGCAATTTAGAATTAAAATAAAATACAATCAAAATATATGCAGTGGGCCCTTGCTATCTGCTAGAGTTGGTTTGAGGAATGTCCTCCTCCCTCTGGATACCAAAATCTATGAACACTCAAATTCCATTATATAGACAGTGGCATCTCTTATATCGGGAGCGGCTCAGGACTTCATGTCTACCATGGCAACCATGGGGCTGTCCCAACAAGTATCTGGCCCCACCCACAGTGCTGGACATACATTGGACTTGGTTTTCTGCCAGGGATGGGAGGAAGGTGGCGGTGTTGAGGAGTTATCCATCTCTCCGTTGCCATGGACCGACCACCACCTGGTCAGCTTTAGACTCACTGCACCCCCTAACCTCCGCAGAGGTGGAGGACCCATTAAGATGGTCCGCCCCAGGAGGCTTATGGATCCGGATGGATTCCTGACGGCTCTTGGGGAATTTCCCGCCACCTCGGTTGGTGATCCTGTTGATGCCTGGTCGCTCTCTGGAATGGGGAGATGACTAGGGCAATAGACACGATCGCTCCAGAACGTCCCCTCTCAAGTAGCCGAGCTAAACCAGCTCCCTGGTTCACCGAGGAGCTGGCAGCGTTGAAGCGAAAGAAGAGGGAACTAGAGAGCGTGTGGCGTTCGGATCCGAGCGAGCCAAATCGAACACGGTTTGTGTCCTTTTTAAGGGCATATGCCGCGGCAATAAAAGCCGCAAAGAAAACTTTCTTTGCGGCCACTATTGCGTCTGCAAAGAACTGTCCGGCCGAACTGTTCCGAGTTGTCAGAGGCCTATTAAAACCCGCCACTCAGGATGGGTGCCCTGATGACTCGGCAGCTCGCTGCGAAGCCTTTGCTCGGTTCTTCGCAGACAAAGTCGCTTTGATCCGCTCTGGACTGGATACCATATTAACGGCAGTCTCTGAGGATGTAACACGAGCATCTGCTTGTCCGGTTTTGATGGATTCATTTCAATTGGTTCAATCCGAGGATGTGGACAAGGTGCTTGGAGGAATGAGAGCTACCACATGCATCCTAGACCCCTGCCCATCCTGGCTTCTGAAGGAGGCCAGAGCGGGATTGGCCGAGTGGGTGAAGGTGGTGGTTAATGCCTCCCTTCGGGAGGGCAAAATTCCAGCCAGCTTAAAGCGAGCTGTTATAAAACCGCTGTTGAAGAAACCATCACTGGACCCCACTCAATTCGTCAACTATCGGCCTGTTTCCAATCTCCCCTTTTTGGGCAAAGTCATGGAACGTGTGGTGGCCTCACAACTCCAGGCATTCTTGGTAGACACGGATTATCTGGATCCGGCACAGTCTGGCTTTAGGCCGGGGCATGGTACCGAGACAGCTTTGGTCGCCTTAGTGGATGATCTGCGTCGGGAGCTCGACAGGGGGAGTGTGTCCCTGTTGGTGCTGCTCGACCTCTCAGCGGCCTTCGATACCGTCGACCACGGTATCCTTCTGGGACGCCTCGCGGGGATGGGTCTTGGAGGTACTGTTTTGCAGTGGCTCCGCTCATTCCTCGAGGGTCGGTCTCAGAAGGTGTTACTGGGAGACTCCTGTTCAACCCCACAACCTTTGTCTTGTGGGGTTCCTCAGGGTTCAATACTGTCTCCCATGTTGTTTAACATCTACATGAAGCCGCTGGGCGAGATCATCCGGAGTTTCGGAGTGCGATGTCATCTGTACGCAGATGATGTCCAACTCTGTCACTCCTTTCCACCTGCTACTAAGGAGGCTGTCGAGGTCCTGAACCGGTGCTTGGCCGCTGTGACGGTCTGGATGGGGGCGAACAAATTGAAATTGAATCCAGACAAGACAGAGGTACTCCTGGTTAGTCGCAAGGCCGAACAGGGTATAGGGTTACAGCCTGTGTTAGACGGGGTCGCACTCCCCCTGAAGACGCAGGTTCGCAGTTTGGGTGTGATCCTGGACTCATCGCTGAGCCTGGAACCCCAGGTTTCGGCGGTGACCAGGGGAGCATTCGCACAGTTAAAACTTGTGCGCCAACTGCGCCCGTACCTTGGGAAGTCTGACTTGGCCACGGTAGTCCACGCTCTGGTTACATCCCGTTTAGACTACTGCAACGCTCTCTACGTGGGGTTGCCTTTGAAGACGGCTCTGGAAGCTCCAACTAGTCCACCGGGCGGCAGCCAGACTACTAACAGGAGCGGGGCGCAGGGAGCATACAACTCCCTTGCTGAACCAGCTCCACTGGCTGCCGATCTGCTACCGGGCTCAATTCAAAGTGCTGGCGTTGGCCTTTAACGCCCTAAACGGTTCTGGCCCAACTTATCTATCCGAACGTATCTCAGCCTATCAGCCCACCAGGACCCTAAGATCTTCTGGAGAGACCCTGCTCTCTATCCTGCCGGCTTCACAAGTGCGGCTGGCGGGAACGAGAGACAGGGCCTTTTCTGTGGTGGCCCCTCGGCTTTGGAACACCCTCCCCACAGAGGTACGATCAGCCCCCTCGCTGATGGTGTTTCGGAAGAGATTGAAGACATGGATGTTTAAACAAGCATTCGGTTAATCCGTTGCAACGAATTTTGATGACTAAAGGATTGGTAATCACGGACGACGAATTTTGGATTGCGATTCCAGTTACGAGATGCATGGGATTATTATTGGTGGCCCAATAATTTGTATTGTATATGTGTTTTATGTTTTAAACTGAATACTGTTTTTAAGTGTTGTAAACCGCAATGAGTCGCCGACTTAGGCTGAGATATTAGCGGTATACAAGCGTATAAATAAATAAATATAGAACAGCAAAAATTAAGATTTGCATATGGGACTTTAAAAAAAATACTATCTTTTCAAGTCATGATTATTTAAATCCATGGATACAGAATCCATGAATATGGAGGCTGACTGTGTGCATTTATATATGATTTAAATAGAAACATCAGCCAGCTTCAATGAAATGACAGAAGATGCTTAATGCTTCTGGAATACATGCATAGCATCAAATAACATTGGCATTTCAGAGCATTGCCTCGAGTTTCTCCACCTTCATGTGTTGTTCAGTATGATATAAATGAAGAAGCAACACCCAATTAAGTCTCATACACAATAAACTTCTGAACAACCTAACAAATGCACAGATGACAGTTCAGTTAAAATCCTCACAGTCAATCCCACTTTCTAAAAATGTTGACAGGGCATATGTGCCCTTTCCTTTCCCTCGTTCTTTTTCTCTGACCCCCCTTCCTCCAAATTTGTCTGTATTTCATAGAAGCAAAGGAGAAATGCTGTCCTGGATCCTGAGAATAAACTTGGTGGCTGCCATTTTTTCTGCCCCTGCATTCCCAGCTGCTATCTGCTCCATGAAGAAATTCTGCCGTCCTCTCCTGCCATCTTCAATAACTAAACTCTGTCAGGTAAAAAGAAAAGCCTCTTTAAAACTGTGTGTGCATCAACAGTTATTATTAAGCATACCATCAATATTACTCTTGGAGTCCCTTATGGTGAAATGGGTTAAAGCCTTGTGCTGATAGGACTGCTGACCGAAAAGTCGATAGTTTGAATCTGGTGAGCTTTCGTCTGTCAGTTCCAGTTTCTCATGCGGAGACATGAGAGAGACCTCCCACAGGATGGTAAAACATCCGGGCATTCCCTACACAACTTTCTTCTAAATGGCCAGTTCTCTCACACCAGAAGTGACTTGCAGTTTCTCAAGTCGCCACTGACACAGAAAAAAAATACTCTTTTACTGTAGCAGGTACTGGGACTGCTCTCTCCAATGATTTGACAGTTATATGTCATGTAAATTGGCAAATGGAAGTTGTGAAATGTACGAAACTAATGCATAAGGTAGTAAAAGTAAAGGTTTTCCCCTGATATTAAGTCCAGTCGTGTCCGATTTGGGGCGGGGGGGGGGGGTTCTCATCTGAATTTCTAAGTTGAAAAGCTGGCATTCTCCATAAACACCTCCAAGGTCATGTGGCCAGCATGACTGCATGGAGTGCCATTACCTTCCCGTCAGAGCAGTACCTATTGATCTACTTACATTTGTATGTTCTCGAACTGCTAGGTTGACAGAAGCTGGGGCTAACAGCGGGAGCTCACGCCACTCCCCAGATTCAAACCTGCGACCTTTCGGTCAGCAAGTTCAACAATTCAGTGCTTTAACCCACTGCACCACCAGGGACTAATGCATATGCTTTAGAAAAACATGCTATGTCTGATATTTGGTAGATGCTTGCTCATATGTCTATTTCTGTTGATATCCTTCTCTCTCTCTGCAAACCTTCTCCAGGAGGAACAACTGCAGTCTCATGAGAACAAAATGAAGCAAACTGTAGACGAATTAACTGAGCACAAATTACACCCAATAGCAAAAGGCCTCAAGTCAAAAGAGGCTGAAGAATATCGCCTGAAAGAGCATTATTTAATATTTGAGGTGAGGCTTTCCCCAAATGATACCTGGTACAAAGATAGCAACACAGCAAAGAAAAGTTTAGAGAGATTATCTTCCAGTAGCCAAGTTGTGATGACAGGGAAAACTTTATCTCTTTTTTAAAATGACTTTTAAAGTGAATGGTTCCAAGTTGCAAAATAAACTAGTTGAATAAAATTCCATTTAGTAAATCTCTGTGCCCAAAATATCACTTTGTGGGGAAAGGCGTCATTTTCAATGGATGAAACAGTAAAGTCTTTCGGTAAAATAACTTGCACCTTATGACATGTTATTTAAATATTTTATAGTATTTTATAATTTCCCAAATCTATAATCTATAAATAGATATTGTGCTGTCACACACTGGGCCCATGGCAATTGTCTATTAACAGGACGTGCTCTCTATATGCCTAGCGGGACACCGGGGTGCCTCAGCTGAGAGGCCCTATGAATTTCCCTATACAAAGTCTTTAGAAGCTTAGAAAGTTTAACAAAGTTCTTTATTGGTGTTTAAATCTTCAACAAATCAATCAAATACTTCTTAGATCTTCAACACACAGACTAAACACTTTAAAACTCCAGAAAATTTCTTAACAATGGACAGGCAACTTGCTTCACGAACTGTTTCTTTCTTCTATAAGGGAAATCCTTTGACCCCTCCCTGGGCAATCTGCTTTTTAGGCTTTGCTGGCATGGGGCCCCTACTCCGGTTCCAATTTGCTTTAAGGCTAGCCTGAGTGGTCCTTACCAGGCAAAGTCTCTGTGTAGATTTTCCAAGACGAAGGAAGTCCTTGTCCTTCCAGCAAGGCTGGCTGTTGAGCTGTGGAACTGTATTCCCCAGCAAAAGCTGTAGGACTGTTTTCCCCAGAAACTTTCTACAGGTGGGAGAAATTCACACGTCCTGTAAGAAAGGCTTCACTGAACAAACTGAGCTAAAGGTCCCTTTTTCCCTCCAAACCTGGAAAAAGGGGGTGGAACTCAATAACTTAACGATGATTGATGGGTCATTGGCCCTATGATTGCAACCTGGAGGAAGCTGCCAGATTGCAAAATGCATGCCCTAAAGGAATTCATGCAAACAAGCAAAGAAAGAAAAAGGGAATCCAAACCCCTGGCACAGTCGTGCCAGAACAGATATGGAAAATAGTAGATGAGTCTGAGCTATGGCATCCCTATGTAACACATGGACAGTGACTCAAGTCACTGTGACAAAGATCTCAAAATAGCTGGGATCCTGTTAGTGGCATATGCGGGCATAAATCCACCTTACACGCATATATATTATCTTTTGGAACATAATTTGCTGTCCTTTACTGCTGAGTCATCTCTCTCTGAGGAAACACTGCTATGAAAAGGAAAATGGGTTAATCACAGGAAATACACATTCCCTTTAATGTCTGCTTAGACATCATGTCCCAAGGTGGTAGGGAGGAGGGAATGCTTAGTGAAGCAAGAATGCTTTCCATTCTTTTGTTTGGATGATGGATTCTGCGGCATTTGTGGTCATTCCTGATTCCTTCTCTCTCCCCCAGTCAAGCTTTTTATTCTGTTTCATTGTCCTCCACAGAAAAGTCGTTATGAGACGTACATAAACCTTCTGTGTGTGAAGATAAAAGCTGGGACGGATGATTTGGAAAAAATTGAAGCCAACCTCTTCACAATGGAGACTGAAGACAGTTCCTTGAGGAAGACTTATTCTAGCCCTTCCATAAGCCAAGGACAATTGCCTGCTGCAAACAGCAAGGTAGAAAAAGACGTTATAGAACAGAATACGTCAAGCAATGAATAAATACAGGTAGCCAGGAAGTGATGGCTGGCCCTCTGACTGCAACTTGTGAGCACAATTATTTCTCAAATGTACATTAAATACCATAGCTCAAAGACATCAACAGAACCAATTCAAAGAAACTTTAGTTTACAATTATTCTCTCCTGGTGCTTGAGTGTTTCAGAAACATGAACTGTCCATACTGGTTATTACTGTAGACATTTCTTTATTGTGCATGCAATAAAAGGACAGGTGTTCCATACAAGGACTGGGCTGCTCTTTGGCCAGATGTTTTTCCTTGTGACTACCTGGATTTGCCAGTAGGCAGCTTGACAACAGTACCCTTGGCTACACAGAGACACAAGCGAATCTGTTCCTTGTATTGTTAAAGGCTTTCATGGCTGGAATCACTGGGTTGGGTTGTAGGTTTTTTCGGGCTATATGGCCATGTTCTAGAGGCATTCTCTCCTGACATTTTGCCTGCATCGATGGCAAGCATCCTCAGAGGTAGTGAGGTCTGTTGGAACTAGGAAAATGTCAGGAGAGAATGCCTCTAGAACATGGCATATAGCCTGAACAAACATACAACAACCCAATGATTCCAGCCATGAAAGCCTTCGACAATACATAATCACTGGGTTGTTGTAGGTTTTTCGGGCTATATGACCTCACAACCTCTGAGGATGCTTGCCATAGATGCAGGAGAAACGTCAGGAGAGAATGCTTCTAGAACATGGCCATATAGCCCGAAAAACCTACAACAACCCAGTGATTTCAGCCATGAAAGCCTTCGACAATACATTTTATTTTCGGGCTGTATGACCTCACAACATCTGAGGATGCTTGCCATAAATGTAGGCGAAATGTCAGGAGAGAATGCTTCTAGAACATGGCCATATAACCTGAAAAAACCTACAACCCAGTGATTCTGGCCATGAAAGCCTTCGACAATACATAATCACTGGGTTGTTGTAGGTTTTTCGGGCTATTTGACCTCACAACCTCTGATTATGCTTGCTATAGATGCCGGCGAAATGTCAGGAGAAAATGCTTCTAGGACATGACCATATAACCTGAAAAAAACTACAACCCAGTGATTCTGGCCATGAAAGCCTTCGACAATACATAATCACTGGGTTGTTGTAGGTTTTTCGGGCTATTTGACCTCACAACCTCTGAGGATGCTTGCCATAGATGCAGGCGAAACGTCAGGAGAAAATGCTTCTAGAACATGGCCATATAGCCCAAAAAACCTACAACAACCCAAATCTGTTCCATTTTCCCCCTAACATCTGTCACTGAGACGTTAGTATTACAGTTCTTATAAAAGAGAAACAATTGCAAGTGTAAAAGATCATTTTTCTGGACACTGCAATGCTAAGAGATTCCAGGGCGGACAGAAGAGATGTTAAATAAAATGACCAATGTTCACACAAACTCAGTAAGTACAAAACACATTGCAATAACTGTATTACCTACCCTACTGCCAAAACTTAGATACTAAAGGCTCGAGAGTCAAAGATATAATGTTGTAAACGTAACCTGCCCCAGTACACTAGCAGGAAGAAAATAACTTTAATATACAGGGATCTTAGCAGTGCTAAGTAATGTTTTGAAACTGTAGTAGTTTAATTAACTTTTTTCTGTTTTGTAACAAGAAAAACCCCATCTGGCTTTGCTGCAGTACAGGCTTTGCTGCTGTTGCCAATGCCGTAAATAGGCAATTCATTGCTGCTTCTCGCGTGCCCATTCCTTCTGCTTCTGCTTCCTGGGCATCCAAGCAACTGCAAGCTAAGCTACATGCATGGGGAGGGTGGGAAGTGGAGCTGCTGATCACAGATAGCTGTACATATTCCATTTTGCTGTCAGCGTAAATATAGTCACTTAATGGGATGTTGTGCTTCTATTACTTTCTTGCTGTGCTAAAAGTGATTCCGCTGCATTTTCAAGGCCTCCAGCACTTTATTTAATGATTGATTCATTTTCATCTTCTTTTCTAGACATATCCACAGTTAATCAAGTTCCAGTTTTAAAGGATCTTGTAGCTGCTAATTACAGTAATTTACAGTTTATATTTTTGCAGCTTTTTAAAATAAAGATAATAAAGAGATTTGTTTGGATTCTCGCTGCCTTTGAGAATTTATAAATGATTGAGTTTCCATGTTTCTTACCACGGAAAAGTTGCCACCCTGTTTTGCCACCCCCTTTTTTAATCTCTTTGGGTTTTTTGTACAGTTTGATAGTTTTATTTGACGGGATGCACTAAGAATCATGTACAAATAAAGAAATGATGACAAAACTGTTAATAAAGGGTAATTCAAAACCTTGTTTGGAGTTCTTCTGTATTATTTTAGCATGTCAACCAGTGTATTAAAAACAGCAAAAGTTCTTGTTGAAGGTGAGATGAAGATCCTCAAGTCCTGTGCCGCTGCTGCCTGGGGGCTATAGTTCTTAGTGAAAGAAACATGGACGTGACATCTTTTCCCCAGGGGATTGCTTCTTGCCTTCCTTTAGAGAACTGGAACTCTCAAGGATCAAGACACTATAGATAACTCGAAATAGGCTTTATTGTTCACAAAGAGTTATCTTTCTAAGGCATTAAACTTGATGTTCCAAAAGGGGGAAAGAAAATACATTGCAGACTCTGGAGTCTTGGGTCCAAGGAGTTTTCCAGCTGAGAAGCTTTCCAAGTTCCCTCTTTCTCAATGTCTATGAAGTCGGAACATTCACAACCCCAGTCCAATGACCTATATTGAAGGCACAAAGTCTTCATCTTGATGCCAAAGGACTGATTTGAAGGCGCTTAAGATTCCTCAACGTCATCCAGATGAGCTGGGCATGAAGTATGAATCTTAAGAGTATAAACTTAAGATTTGGTGGTAAGAGATGACTTGACTAAGAGCTTAGAGCCAAGCCTTTCTCATGTCCATGAGTTGAGTCTTTTGGTGGAAGAATGAAAAAGAAAGCACTTCCCTCCTCCCTAGGAAGGGGTGGAGCCAAACAATTGAGTTGGGGTAGCAATTCAACCGATGCAAAACAACATTGATAGGGTTGAAAGCTGTAGATAACCAAACAATTCAACTATATATTTACACACAAGTGGGGCCAGGCGCACCGTCACAAGTCCAAGAGGCTGGATGGCCATCTGTCGGGGTGCACTGAATGCAGTTTTCCTGCTTCTTGGCAGGGGGTTGGACTGGATGGCCCACAAGCTCTCTTCCAACTCTATGATTCTATGATCTATGTCTAAGTATGAAAAGGAGAGAAGGCTTCCAGAACATGGCCATACATCCTGAAAAACCTACATCAATCCAGATTCATTTGTTCATCGTAGAATGAGTCTATCCTGGCTGTAAAGCTGTCTAAAGCAGAAATGCTCTGGATGGTTCCAGAGGTGGCCATACTTTCCCAAACGCTCTGTCATGATGGGTTGGAATCTACACAGTCCATACAAGCAAAGACCATATCAGTCCTACGGGACCATCACCACACTATCGGTGTCACTGCTCCCAGACAGTGCTCTCTGCCTGATATGAATGTCACAAAACTGCCCAATTCAAATTCCTGCAGACATACATCAATTTACAAAGATATAAGTTCCCAACAGGAGTCCATTTAATGCAGTGGTTCTCAATCTTCCTAATGCTGCGACCCCTGAATAAAGTTCCTCATATTATGGTGACCCTGACTCCCAACTATAAAATTATTTTTGTTGCTACTTCATATTTGCAATTTTGCAACTGTCATGAATCATAATGTAAATATCTGATAAACAGGATGCATTTCATTTACTGGACCAAATTTGACACAAATACCCGATACGTCCAAATTTGAATACTGGTGGGGTTGTGGGGGGTTGATTTTGTCATTTGGGAGTTGTAGTTGCTGCGACTTATAGTTCACTTACAATCAAAGAGCATTCTGAACACCAATGATGGAATGGGACCAAACTTCCCACACAGGACCCCCATGACCAACAGAAAATACAGGATGGGTTTGGTGGGCATTGACCTTGAGTTTGAGAGTTGTAGTTCACCTACATCCAGAGAGCACTGTGGACTCAAACCATGGTGGATCTGGACCAAATTTGGCACGAATACTCCATTTGCCCAAATATGAACACTGGTGGAGTTTGGGGAAAATAGATCTTGACATTTGGGAGTTGTAGCTGTTGGGATTTATAGTTCACCTACAATCAAAGAGCATTCTGAACCCCCCCCCCATGATAGAATTGGGCCTTAATGCCTTGAAATGTATACCGATTCCTTTATGAAAAGCACACAATCCTTTCAACTTCCTACAGTACCGGGATAGGAAAAAATGCAAGTGTAATGTTGAGAAAGGCATTGGGTATAAGCCAGATATTTTTACATTCCTGGCAGTATCCAGCCTTTCTTTCAATTCAGTCTCCAGAAGACTTTAGGGTATTGATGTGCCATATAACTTGGGGAATGGGGTTATGAATCTGAACAAACTCACAAAGGCTTTTCATGCAATTATTTAAAAAAACCAAGTATGGTAAAACACCTTACCACCAAAACATTTAATCAACTACCAAACTCACAAATTTTGTATTTTGTCTGTTTGTTTGCTTTGTTCTGTTAGAAATGTAATATAATTTGACTGGTTGTCCTGACATGAAAAATAAATGCCATTATTAGGAAGCAAGCCAATAAAAGTCCATCAGAAAACTATGATGGGGCAGAACTACCTGGAGCTATAACTCTAAACTTCCAGAAATTGACCCTCTCCCAGGATTTAAAAAATACCAAGTATGGTAAAACACCTTACCACCAAAACATCTATCATTTAGAACTCTACAATATTGGCACTGCCCCAAGGACTTTGTGACATATTTTCAAATTCCCCCGTTAATTGTAATTCAAACATTTTTTCCTAAAATAGAATGTTATCTTGAAACACCAGCAACCAGGTGGAAGAATATTGGCAGAAAGCTATGCTTCACCAACATCCAGCCAAGGGCTGCAATACTTTACCCACTTATCTGAAAATAAGCCCCAATGAGCTCTATGGAATGTACCTCTGAGTAAACAAGCATAGAATTGCACTGTTATTCTTCTGGATAAGGAGCCTAAGAGTGAATACATCTTTAAAAAGGTCAGAAGATAGATCTCTTACAGAAACTGCAAAGAATGCTACATGCTACTAACCATTCCAAACTGCGTCCTCATTATATACTAGTCGTCCCCTGCCATGCGTTACTGTGGCCCAGTCTGTGTATATGTGGTTTTTTTGTGTGTATATGTG